TCCTTGCTTAGCTCCAACTTTGGCTCCCCACTCTCTCTTGCAATGATCATCTGGGTCACTCTGGAGCCCCCAAAATTAGATCAGACAGAGACTAATAAGGAAAGCTTAGAACAGACAAGGGAAAGTCAGTTAGGACTCCCATATACCTCACTAGGTAGGACACAAAGATCAGTTACTCCTCACTAAGGTATTGAAGATTTCTCTGCACACCCCTCCTGTTCTGCTCCTCAGTCGTTAACATATGGCTTGTTAGTTATAACCCTGTTTAGACCATCCTAAAATTCACGAAGTTCAGTAAAATCATGCTTGAATACTATAAGCTGCTAAATATAAAAGTACATTTAAATGTAAATATACAAAGCAAGTCAAGCCATCATTGGCACACCCAAATCCCATACTAGAATCCCAGGGATATAGAGTACCACTTCCAGCTTCCTGCTAATGCACCTGTACGGTAGCAAGTATTTTAATCCCTACCAGACACAACGGAGACTCAGAGTTCTGGCTCCTGACTTCAGCCTGGCTGCTGTGGGCCCCTGTCTGTGGGACACTAGGGAAGCGATCCAATTCTGGGTTTACCCAAGCCAAGCCCTTGCAACCATTTGGGGAATGAACTAGCAGATGAAAGCTCTTTCTGACCCTGTCATTGTGTCCTTCAAAATAAATATTTAAAAAAAAAAATTTTCTCCCTCTACCACTCTTCAAATAAATCTATAGGGCCTAGCGTAAGGGCCTAGCGGCTAAAATCCTCACCTGGAACGCACCGGGAATCCCATATGGATGCTGCTTCTAATCCCGGCAGCTCCACTTCCCATCCAGCTCCCTGCATATGGCCTGGGAAAGCAGCAGAGAACAGCCCAAAGCCTTGGGACCCTGCACCCACGTGGGAGAAGCCTGGAGGAAGTTCCTGGCTCCTGGCTTCGGATTGGTGCAGCACTGGCCTTTGCAGTCACTTACGGAGTGAATCATCAGAGGATCTTCCTCTCTGTCTCTCCTCCTCTCTGTATATCTGATTTTGCAAAAATAATAATAATAATAAATAAATCTTTAGAAAACATAAACCTAGATTTCCTAAAACAAATCATTGTTTATTTAATCCTATATTTATCTTTTTTGCATCTCCAAGTTTCTATCTAGTACCATTTTCTATTTAAAGACAAATTTATTTTCATTAGGGAGGTTTTCTCGCTTTTTTTTTTTAAGATTTATTTATTATTCTTATTGGAAAGTCAGATTTACAAAGAGAAGGAGAGATAAAGATCTTCCGTCTGTCCAGCAGCCCAAGTGGCTGCAACTGCTGGACCTGAGCCAATCCAAAGCTAGGAACCAAGAGCTTCCCGGTCACGTGCAGGGTCCCAAGGCTTTGGGTCACCCACTGCTGCTTTCCCATGCCACAAGCAGAGATCTGGATGGGAAGTGGAGCAGCCAGGACATGAACAGAACTCCATATGGGATCCCAGTGCATACAAGGTGAAGATTTAACCCCTAGGCTACTTCTCCAGGCTCTCTCACTTTTTGCATGTAAAATTTCCTTCATTTCCTCTATTGTACCCCTATTCTTAAAGACAGTTTTGCTTTCTGTAGAACCCTAGGTTGGCAGTTATTTCATTCACTTCAGAATTTCCATCCCATTATCTTGATTGCCACTGTTTCCTACTAGGTTGTCACTTGTCATATTTTTGGTCAAATTATTGTATTTTTCTTGCTTTCACTGCTACAGACCCTTTGTTTCCAACAGTAGTAACAACATTGGCAGATGCAAGACTTTCTATGAATGTATTTCACTTCAGGCTTATAAAACTTTTGAGATTCAGATCGCTTGATGATTTTCCTAAGTTTTAGAAAATTCTTAAGACTTAGCTCCTAGTAATGTTTCTCCCTAAGATTCGATTTGCTTCTTTTCAGCTGTTCTGACATTATCTTCTGGTTCCTTTCTGTCCCTTTGTCCACTCTGTCCATCGTGATTTTTTTGTTCCCTAAAGACCAAATTGAGTTTGTTGTTTCTCTGATTTTCATCTCAATTGGGGCAGGGACCACAGGAAGCCGAAGAATTTCCCAAATGCTGAGTGGACCTGGGTCTACTGAACACACTGCAAAGCAGCAGCTGGCAAGGGGGACAAGCAGGGCTGACTGCTGCAACAGACCAATTTCAGCGCTGTATTTGCAGCGCAGACTTTCCTTGGTTGGTTGTTCCACCTGCTTAAAAGTGAGCCACAGGCTGGACAGTCAGAGGCTGTCGCATCATGGACCACAACCAAGCAGTGTATTTTCTCAGGGTGTTTTCAACAGCCCAGCACGTTGCCCAGGTGAACGATTTGCATCTCTGGGTGGAACTGGGGGGCTTTCTACTTTACCTTATGGACCCCACCCTCAACATTTTTTTAAATTCCCTATTGCAAGGTTTTTATCTTGTCTTCCTCCATCCCTCAGGCATATTAGTTTAGTTCGTAAATATGAGAGCTTTTTGTGGGGCCCACTAACTCCAAAACTGGGTATGCTTGCCTACCTACTCACAGTGTTGGATAAGGGCAGAGGCTAATCCAGAGAATATTTAAGAATGTACAAAGAACATCAACTCTTATGGAAGCCAATTCATTCCAAAGAGAAAGCTGCTAATGCCCATTTTTCCGTTCGCATTTGCCCCTGCCAGGTGGTCCTGAGTTCACCTCTTTGTAAACATTTATTTAATTGAAAGTTAGAGTCTGGGCCCAGCGCAATAGCATAGCAATTAAAGTCCTCACCTTGAATGTGTCGGGATCCTATATGGCACTGGTTCTAATCCTTGCACCTCTACTTCCCATCCAGCTCCCTGCCTGTGGCCTGGAATTGCAGTCGAGGATGGTCCAAGACCTTGGGACCCGCATCCACATGGGAGACCAGGAGGAAGCTCCTGGCTCTGGACTGGTGCAGCACCAGTGACTGCAGCCGCTTGGGGAGTGAACCATCAGACAGAAGATCTCTGTTTCTCCTCCTCTCCGTATATCCGCCTTTCCAATAAAAATAAATAAACCTTAAAAAAAAAAAGTGAGAATCAGAGAAGAGATAAACAATGGGTTATCTTCATCCACTGAGTTGGGCCAGAATCCAGAATGAAGCCAGGAGACCATGGCTTCTTCCAGATCTCCCATTTAGTTGTAGGAGCACAAGCATTTTGCCATTTTCACACTGATTCTTTGCAGGGAGCTGGATCAGAAGTGGAGTGGAGCACTCCTGTCATGAACCAGTGTTGTAGGTGGCAGCTTTACCCTCTGTATCAATGCTGGCCAATCCTGAGTTTGTTGTTTTTTGTGTTTAAAACCTGGAGATTATCATACAGGTAACTTGAGTGCCTGCTTAGCCCCATATAATTAAGACTAATAATACAGACTCAAGGGAAACAAAATCTGTTCCCACCCAATCAGAATGTAGACCAAGTTTTTTTGATTCTCCCTTAACTAGATGGCAGATTTTTCTAACCTAGTCCTTTTTTGAAGAGGGTAGTTCCTGGATGTGGTGTGTATACAGAGGTTTCTGAGCTTTATAAATGATCGCTTTTCGTTAAATCTGGACTTACAAAGATGAACCACTCAATCACATCCTCAGGCTGCTTAAATTACAACACAACAATGGCTCTCAGTTAGGGGTGCTATTCCCTTCACCCAACCCAGGGAATATCTGGTAAAGTCTGGATTTTTGGTTGTTTAGGAGTTGCTACCGATATGTGGTTAAGAAGAGACCAGGGATGTTAAATACACTACAATGACTGGGACAGCCCCCTATACAAAAGAATTATTCTACCAAAAATGAAACATCAACCACACAAACACAGCATTATCTGTACAATATTAGTCTGGAGGGCATGAAAAGGGCAGAGGGATCACAGCACAGTGCTAAGAGCACAAATATGAAAGTGAAGGATATGTTCCCCCCACATGTATGGAGAACTACACATAACTCGGTATGATTAAAACTTTGGGGCAAGATGAAACAAAAATGAAATCAGGGGCCAAAACACAACAGGCTTTACTTATCAGAGGAGCTTAGATGTCACTGTGTCAGGACGCAGGAGGCCGCTGATATTGAAAAATGAAAAAAGTATTTTAGAAAAATCATTCTGGCGTTCAAAGGAAGATATGGTAAACATCAATTAGTAAGTGTATGGAGTGATCCTGGCCAGAGACCAGCAACAGAAACCACTGAAATAAGTTGAGAAAAAAAAAAGTACCATGCTTAGTTTTTAGGTTCTGAATATGCACAGAGGAAATGAGGCACCATCTCAGTTTTCAGGCACCACTCAGAGATAAGAGTACAGAACAAGAACACTTAGAAAAAAAGATAATGAAAGATAATACCACCCCATTTAGATGTCTCATTGTGAAAGAGCTAGGCACGCATAATATATATGTGACCACTATATCAGAAATATTTGTATTTATTGTTTTGAGCCATCATCATCCTCCAAACAAAAATGGAAATTGTTAATCCTTTTCTCCTAATATTTTGTTTTGCTTTTTTACTTTCATTAAAATGAAGCACAATGTCTTACTTTTTAAGCATTTAATTTTATAAAATTCCATACATTAAATATTCTAAGAGAAAGTAAAAATAACTATCTTAATTAAGTAGCATAGCAGAACTGCAGAGAACCTCCCTTTAAAAAGCCAGCACTTTAAACAAACTTTAAGAAGTTTAATTTATGCAGGTATCTAGAAAGATAATACTTAGGTATGGACAAATGCCCTATTTTACTCTAATAAATGTACTACTATTTTCTGGATCTCAACAATGAAGTTTTCAAGATACCACTTAAATTACCCTTGAAAAATAAGGCTTTTTGAATCATTTAATATAATCAATGAAATAGTAACTACTTAACAAGACTTAAATTAAACATACCAAACATTTATAATCACCAAATTAAAAACAAGCAAAAAATTCACATCTGAAAGTCTGATATTCTGATCTACCGGATTTTAACTTTCTCCCCAGAATAAGATTATGAAAAAATACTTGTGGTTTTCAGCACAGAAGTAAAACATCTTATTTATAAATAATTTCACCATGACTCATCAGTGAATAATAATCAAATCAACCATCAACTTACATGAAAGGAGATTGAAAAATTGCTAAAACTATGTCACTAAATTCCAGCATTTGACAATTAGTATAAAAGTTTATTTTAAAAAAATACAACATAATTTAACATTTTAAAATTAAATAGCTATTTCTCTTTACAAACAGAAGGCTTCAAAAAATTGTGAATAAATTCTAAATGTATCCTTGTCATCTGTATCATTCCAATTTTAGCGCATGTGCTGTTGAAGTGAGCACTATCCGTGTTATTTTGAATTGATCCCTAATACTATATTAGTAAGTTATTTATCCAATCGCTTCTTTAGGGTCTCAAGGTGTTCCATATTAACATCTTCTAATGCCAGTATCATTGCTTTGGATGACGAAGGGTTGTATGAAATAGTCATGAGACAGCACAAATCTATTAGATCTCTCTGGCATTTCTGCAAACCTTCCAGGAACTTACGGTACTGAAGAGGATCCTTCTTTAACCGTTTCATTTCTGCTACTGAAAACCCTATCAGGCTAGTAAGTATTTCATCTACAAAGTCTACATCTAGATATGCAGTCCCATCAGAAACCTTTGCAGTTATACTCCAAATGCCACCAGAACTGGAGAGATTTCCAGTTAAAGTTACAATAAATGCTTTGACTTTCACCGTTGTAACTTCGTTTGGTTTGCTGGCCATTAAAACAGACAAATAGATGAAGGGTGGAGTATACAAATCCAAGGCAAGAGGAAAATCCGTGTTATTCTCTGACGATCTTAAAGAAACAGTCTGCCCATGATGACCATTTTCATTAGAAATGTGTGGACTCCTTTTTGGCATAGAGACAACTGGCTCCCTGTTTAATGTTTTATTTGTTAAAGAACATCCATCTGAACTGCTGATGATTTGTTTTATTTTATCATCTCTCTCTGAATTCTTATATTTATCTGTAAAATCATGAGCTATGGGCACATTACGATGTCCAGAAAAAACATTACTATTTTGATCTCCAGCAGGTGAACAACCAAAAGATTTGTCTTCATTAGCCATTTGTCCAGGCAGATTTTTTTCACTCCAGTTATTGCTTCCATCTTTGCAAATCAAAGAAAAATCATTAGTAGCATTAGGTTTATGCAAAACCCTCTGTATACTTGTATCTGTGTTTCTGCTTAACACCAATGGCTGCAACTCTTCAGTTTCCATCTGTTCTCTCTGCACAGTTTCTTCTAAAAGCAAGGCTTCTTCCAGTGAAAAGTCATCTAATTCCTCATCAGTGAAATACATAGACTGATTTGGTGGTTTCTCTTTTGATTTTGATTCAAAACTTGAGTGTCTTGCAGGAATCATATCTGAAGAACCACCAATGTTGAAACCTCTTTCCAAGGTGTCATTATTTTCTGCAAGCTCCTCATTCTCATCAAGACTTGCCAAGAGCTCCTCATCAGAAGGTGCTAAGGCAGGATCCGGAACATCTGTAATCCTGGGGATGTTCTGGTTAGAATTACTCGGTAGGACTGAAACTGCAGGATCAGGTTCCCCAATCAGTCTTGCAAGGACAGCTTCTTGGGCATATTCTTCCAACAGAGCATCGACTTCACCGCCTAACACCTTCACATTTTCTGCTTTCAATAAGAGGACACCAAGACGGAAAGAAATGCTTCCATAAATCAAAATTTTTGTACCTGGAGAAAGATTACTATGAAGAGCTGGAATAGACTGATATTCCATCCCCTGGATTTGTGTAATTCCATCAGTTAGCTGGAGCATCAACATTCGTGATGGTTTCGCTTCCCAAGGCTTTTGGGTTACTTGCGTCTCAGCAGTAACTTGATCATTTGTTGTATTCTTTCCTCTCAGCTTTTGTATCTGGGAATATGCAGGTTGGCTTACATCAACCAAAGAATTGATCTGTAGAGCATAAAATCCATTCAGTTCTCCTTTTGGGACTTCTAAAATACTAGTAGGTAAAAGAGGATGCTCCAAATCTCTCAGATCAGTAAGCAGCCATTGTTCAAACACTTGCTTATTTATTTGGGCCTGACTCAAATTAACATTATTATTTTCTTCTTGGATCCAACTAACACAAGCTTCCAGCCACATTAGGGGTACTTTAACATGCCAGGTAGCTAAAAGCCAGGTTTCAACTCTCAGCGCAATGCTAGTTACACTCATTTCTTTCAAATAAAATAATATGTTTCCACTATACCTGAAAACAAACAGAAAACCAAATTTAATGTTCAATATATTTAAGTACACTTCTGTAACCCTCTACAAACTTCAAATAGATGTAACCACACCCTTTAGATTTTTTTCTTTAGTATCTAAAAACTTTTTACTTTCTACATAGCTAAAAACAATTACCATAATTTAAAAAGGTGAAGGTCTCAAATACATGTTTGAAAGCTGGTCGTCAAATCACAAGCTATGTTACCTAACAGAAATTTCCCACCTTCGCCAATCCAGTACAACATGTCAGGATTAGCATCTATCTTGCATGAACATTTTTAAAGTGAAATGTCAGACTTAAAAAGATATTCAATGGGCCAGGTACAATAGCGTAATGGCTAAGGTCATCGCCTTGCATGCCCAGGATCCCATATGGGCACTGGTTCTAATCCCAGCGGCCCCGCTTTCCATCCAGCTCCCTGCTTGTGGCCTGGGAAAGCAGTGGAGGACGGCCCAAAGCCTTGGGATCCTGCACCTGCGTGGGAGACCTGGAAGAGCTCCTGGCTCCTGGCTCCTGGCTTTGGATTGCTTCAGCTCCAGCCATTGCGGTCACTTGCGGAGTGAATCATTGGACAGAAGATCTTCCTCTCTGTCTCTCCTCCTCTGTATATCTGGCCTTCCCAATAAAAATAAATAAATAAATCTTTAAAAAAAGACATTCAATAATAATTTCTACATTAACATGATAACTGGATTCAAATCATTTGGGATTCAGTGAGGGCTAGGCATTGGGTACAGCTGCTAAGAGCCATTTAGGACACCTGTATGCCATAGCAAATGCCTGGTTTGAGGCTCAGTTCATCGTCTTCACTCCAGCTTCCTGCTATTGCATAGACAGCTCCCAAGTGTCTGGGTCCCTTCCACACACGGAGAGATCCAGGTTAGTTCTGGCTTCCTGGCTTCCAACCAGCCTAGACCTCCTGTCATGGACACTTGGGAACTGAATCAGCAGATAATCTATCTTTATCTGATTTTCTCTCTCTACCTTTCAAAAACCAAAACAAGAAACAGAAAACTTTTAAAAAATAAAAATTAGTGAACATTCACCACAGTTGTAACTCTATAATTTAACTCTATTGCAACTTATACTACTATCTTTGGCCATTAAGCACTTAAATATGTGATCCAAGGATTAAATCACAGCAAGTGGGTCCAGCATGACAGCCTAGTGGCTAAGGTCCTTGCCTTGCATGTGCCGGGATCCCATACAGTCACTGGTTCTAATCCCGGAAGCCCCACTTCTCATCCAGCTCCCTGTTTGTGGCCTGGGAAAGCAGTCTAGGACAGCCCAAAGCCTTGGGTCTCTGCACCTGCATGGGAGACCATGAGGAGGCTTGAAGCTCCCGGCTTCGGGTTCAGATCAGCTCTGTTCCAGCCATTGGAGCCACTTAGGGAGTGAATCAGCAGATAGAAAACCTTCCTGTTTGTCTGTCCTACTCTCTGTAGATCTGCCATTCCAATAAAAATAAGTATAAGACACTCATAATGTCTTGGTGAGTGGGCCTTTAACTGCACACACGAGTACAATTAAACCCATGCTGTTTCTGGACACCTTATTGTTTGCCTACCCATTGCCCTGAAATCTAGCCCAGATATATAGCATGCCTTCTGAGAAATGGCTTGATAAGAATTTTATAAACTAATGGAAGTGATGAGAGTATGGGCTGAAATTGCTAAAACAAAAATATAGTTACTGGGACCCTAAAGGCCATCTTGTTACTATAACCCTAACGGTTATCCTGCTATGGCAAAAAATATATAGTTACTGTGACCTTAAAGGTTAACCTATCCTTACAATTCTTTAGAACATAGAAAATGTGGTTGTTTTAGCTTCTTTCATAATTTTTTTTTTTTTTAAAGATTTATTTTTATTATTTTTTCATTGGAAAGGCGGATATACAGAGAGGAGAGACAGAGAGGAAGATCTTCCATCCGATGATTCACTCCCCAAGTGAGCGCAACGGGCCGATACTATGCCGATCTGAAGCCAGGAGCCTCTTCCGGGTCTCCCACGCGGGTGCAGGGTCCCAAAGCTTTGGGCCGTCCTCGACTGCTTTCCCAGGCCACAGGCAGGGAGCTGGAAGGGAAGCGGGGCTGCCGGGATTAGAACCGGCGCCCATATGGGATCCCAGCGGGCGTGCTAGGTGAGGACCTTAACCACTTGCGCCACCGCGCCGGGCCCTCTTTCATAATTTTTAACCAGAGAAAATAAAGGATGATTTTACTAACATCATAAAGATATACTTTTAATTATTATTCGGTTGTTTATGAGGTTGTAGAGCCTGCAGTTATAGGGGGATTTAATGTTTAAAACTTTTTGTCTTAGATCTTTATGTTTTTCTCTTCTGATGTATTTATCCCAAAAGTGATGGATAAGTTGTAAAACAAGAATTGTAGTAGGAGTGTATGCGTTGTTTACTGAGGAATTTCCAGGTGCAACATCAGAATGGATAATTCCCTGTCTTAAGGTGAAACAATTTGCAGAATTATCTTTGGAAGCACCCGCTTGTGCATTGTATAATTGAAACCAAAATAGAGTAAACATGGCTCATTGCTAACTGCAATTCTTTTTGCTATTATAACCCCTGCTTTACCTGCTTAGTTAACAAAGCCCAATGTGAACTTACAAGCCCAATGTGCAACTAATGCTAACAACCCCAATCCTCATAAACCAAGGCCCCAGCCTTACTAACCCATAGATAATTCAAGGTAGGGGATCTGGTTGTGATAGCCCACACCAGACCTGAGGAGAGCAGGCGGGGGCTGGCAAGCTGAGATAAGCAAGGAAGGCACAATCCTTCATCACTCACCTCTCAAGCTGTTTTAAATTATGCCCCCCTTGAAGTTATGTCAAACCGCCCCTAAAGAAAACCTTGTAATTGTACTGCTTGGGGCCACACTCTGTGGTTGAGTGGATGTAACACCATGACGTGAAAGGTCTGTGCCAGAGCTTGTGACTGCTTCTGTATAAATAAAGCGGACAGCTTTCTTGCATTGTCCACAATGATCTTGGAAAAAAAAAATCACAGCAAGTAAAGTAGCCTCTGAACTAACTTGGGCAAAGCCTGCTCAACAGGAAAATATATTTACTCCTTGCTTATCAGAAGCATGGCAAAATACTTATTATCATATGTGCCCAAAAATATAAATCGTACATGCACAAAAATATATCCTTTCTACAAAAAAAGAAGAGATACATTTTAATAATGTTTTTCATATGCTCTTAAGAAGGCTTACCACCTGAAATAGCAGCAGGGACTCTGACGCCAGAATGTGGAACAGGCCCTTCAGGAGAGTACCTGAATTCTCTACTGCTTCAGACAGCCCTGGGAGACAAAAGCAGTCAGGGTGTTAAGGTGATGCTTTGGAACCACTGGCCCACTTTCCTGAGTGCAAGCGTTTGGCTGAGATTTTGTTATCAATCAGAGTACAGTGGAAACAAATACAGAATAAAAACAGGTTGGGGTGAAAATAAACAAGTTACCATGAGAAAGTCATACCTGCTAAGTCTGTTTCAATATCTATATCCAAAGGTAACTAAAAGTCACATTTTGGTACAAAACAATGTTTGAAATCCATGCAGTTTTTTCTTCTCTCTCTTTTTTTAAAGACTGTTATTTATTTGAAAGTTACTCAAAGAGAAAGACTTCCATTCACTAGTTCACTTTGCAGACGGCCACAACAGCCAGGGCTGGGCCAGGCCAAGGCCAGGAGCTTCTTCCACATCTCCCACGTAGGTGGCAGGAGTCCAAGTACTTGGATCATCCTCCACTGCTTTTCCCAAGTCATTAGCAGAGAGCCAGAACTCAAACCAGCATCTGTACTGGTAGGCCAGTTTCATAGACCGCAGCTTCACCCTCTGTGCCACAACCCCAGCCCAGAAGTTCTTTCAAAATACACATGAAGTTTTTCAAGATTCCTTATATATACAAATCCAACATTTTTTGGTACCAAAATCAACTTATCTTTTATTTTGATTTTCTACAAACATTTTTTTAAAAGTTGAAGTCAGGAGGCAGGAGCTCCTGTTGGTTTTCCCAAATCGGCGCAGGGGGCCAAGTATACTTGGGCCATCCTCCACAGCCTTCCCAGGCACATCAGCAGGGAGTAGGATCAGAAGTAGAGCAGCTAGAACTTGAACCAGTGCCATATGGGATGCAGGCAGCAGTTTTACCCACTACACCCAGCATTGGACCCTCCACAAACTTTCTGAACCAGCCTCATACTTATTAGGTTATTCTGAAAATTTAACATAGTATGGACATAGCTAGCATAGAGATACACAATTCCAATGCCAAATTAGATTTCACTTAAAAATGCTACCAACCAGTTACTCAACTTTAAGGTACCCTACTTCTATCATCTGTAAAATGAGAACAGCATTTCCCCCATATGCTTCTTATAATATTAGTGTAGAAAAAAGCAGCAGCTTGTACATAAGAACTCAGTAAGTGAAGTATTATCTGGCTTACAGTACCTATTAGAATTCCTGGCAAAAAAGCAATCACTCAAATACTATAGCTACTGTTACTCTAAGTCAAATGTTCTCCTATCAGATAGTCTTAAATGATCTTAAAATTAGTAAACACTTTTTTGCAAGGTCTCAATCAAGGAAACAATGTTCCTATCTGGGGTCATGGGAGCTTAAACCCTGAAAATGCTTACCTTAAGTTACTGTTGTAGCAACAAAACTATTTCATATTGCACCCCAAAAAGAAAAATATATAGCATATGACTGAGAGAAGCTGTAAACGAAATATTCTTTCATATTTCTTAGAAACAAGAACTCCTACCAGCCTCTGAACTTTTCCTCTACCTTGCTTCTATATATTAACAATGGTACATGGCAAATGTAGTGTAAGTGCCTGTTACCATTAGAATTATCTAAATAGTCCAACAAAGAGGACAAGGACACACACAGGTCCCAAAAATCAATGGATGGGCCCAGCGTGGTGGCCTAGGGGCTGAATCCTCACCTTGCATGAGCCAGGATCCCATGTGGGCACAGGTTCATGCCCTGGCAGCTCCACTTCCCATCCAGCTCCCTGCTTGTGATCTGGGAGAGCAGTGGAGGATGGCCCAAAGCCTTGGGACCCTGCACCCGCATGGGAGAACTGGAAAAGGCTCCTGGCTTTGGATCAACTCAGTTAAAGCCATTGTGGCCACTTGGACAGTGAAGCAATAGACCTTAAATCTTCCTGTCTCTCCCTCTCTGTGAACATGCCTTTCAATAAAAATAAATCTTTAAAAGAAAAAAATCAATGGACATTACTTTAATTCAAAGAATTATTAAAATTTAAACACAGGACAATTAAAGTCATTATGATTACAGAATGGTCAGTTTTTGTATTGAAGATAACAAGAATATTTTTATTACATACGAGAAACAATGCAAAAATTTCAGTATAGGAAAGGTCCCTGCCTGTTGTAAAGAAAATAAACTACGTAGAGTGAATTCAAAAGTATGTCTCTTTAACAAACAATTCTTACACATAAGCTCCCTGATTTATTAAATGGAATTTTTTTTTATTTTATTGGCAAGGAAGAAAAGCAAAACATAGAACAAGGTTTATCATACACTAATTTTTCTATACAAATTATGAAAAATAAGCATTCTTATTTACATATATATCCACAAAGAACATCTATAAAGATCTAGAACAAACTACAAAAACTTTAATTGAGCAGTAAAGTCATGCAACCTGCAAGAAAAGAAAACAGATTAAAAACAATGTGGTCAACATTGTAAAAGCTAAAGAGTCTAGTAAGCCACACATTGGGCAGAAGACTGGAAGCAGACTCCTTGTCCAAACTGCCAAACTGTTTCCCTTAAAAGCAGCCTGTACCTTAGGGAGAAAACAGAGCTACTCCCAGCCTATGTAACACATATAATACACACAGGGTACTTCAACAAGTTCACAGAAAACAGAATTGAAAGTAGGAGGGTGGGCATTATGGTACAGTAGTTAAACTGACGCCCAGCATGCATGCATCAGAGTACCTAGGTTCGAGTCCTGCCTCTACTTCCAACCCAGCTTTCTGCTAATATACACCCTGGGAGACAGCAGGCAATGGCTGTAGTCCCCAGGCTCTTGCTACATGCAAAGGAGACCTGGATGGAGTTCCAGGCTCCTGGCTCTACAGCCATTTGGGGAATGAGCCAGTAGGTGCTAGATCTCTCTATCTGTCCCCTTCTCTCTATCTCTGTCACTCTGTTGTTCAAATTTAAAACACAGATCTTAAAAAATTTTTAAAGATTTATGTATTCATTTGAAAGGCAATTACAGAAAGAGGAAGAAATGCAGATCTTCCAGAGAAGCCAAAACTAGAATCATCACTCCCAAGGGATGCTGGCATCCCAGACAACGGCTGAAGTCACCATGCCACAACATGGGCCTTACTAAGCTAGTTAGTTATAAAGATGTTTCTATTTACATGCAAAAGACTGAAGATGGACCTCATCTTAAATCACATAATATTAAAATGGATTAAAGAGCTGAAAATAACATCTAAAACCATAATGAAATGGACAAAAATAATCATGACATGGGGAATGATTTCTTAGGCATGATGCCGAAAGTATAGGTGAAAGCAAAATTAGATAAATGAGATTTTAAAAAGTAAAAAAGTACACAATTAACAGAGTGAGAAAACATTTGCAAGCTAAATATGGAGTGCTGAGCTAATATACAAAAACATAAATACATATACACACACAAAGGTAACAAAAATGCAAATAAACCAATTGAAATGCTGGCAAAGAACACTAGTAGACATTTCTCCAAAAGTAAACAAATAGCCAACAAACATGAAAGGATACGCAATATAACTGGTGATGAGAATAATATAAATCAGAGCAACAATGATATACTACTTTGCACCTATTACAATGGTAAATATTTTAAAAAACAGCAAAGAAAGAAGCTAACAAATATTGGAGAGGATGTGGAGAAATGATAACCCTTGTGCACTACTGGGGGTGGGTGCACATAAATTAGTACAGCCATTAAAGAAAGCAATACAGAGGTTCCCTCAAAAAAATTAAAATAGAGAGCCAGTGCCATGGTGTAGCAGGCTAAGTTCCTGCCTGAAGTACCAGCATTTCACACAGACACTAGTTCAAGTCCTGCATGTTCCACCTCTGATCGAGCTTCCTACTGATGGCCTGAGAAAGCAACAGAAGTGATGCCTGCAGTGATGGAATTATGACTGGTTATGAACTGTACTACTGTAATAATATCAAGAAAAGCAATATGGGGAGGGGCTTGGGGAGAAGTTAGGGGGGAATCCCAGAGCCTATGGAACTGTGTCATAAAATGAAATAATAATTAAAAAAAAGAAAAAAAAAATCTTAAAAAGATCTCTCTCGGGCCCAGCGCGGTGGCGCAAGTGGTTAAAGGTCCTCGCCTTGCACACCCGGGATCCCACATGGGCGCCGGTTCTAATCCCGGCAGCCCCGCTTCCCTTCCAGCTCCCTGCCTGTGGCCCGGGAGGGCAGTTGAGGACAGCCCAAAGCTTTGGGAACCTGCACCCGCGCGTGGGAGACCCGGAAGAGGCTCCTGGCTTCGGATCGGCATAGTATCGGCCCATTGCGCTCACTTGGGGAGTGAATCATCGGACGGAAGATCTTCCTCTCTGTCTCTCTTCTCTGTATATCCGCCTTTCCAATAAGAAAATAATAAAAATAAATCTTTAATAAAAAAAAATAAATAAAAAAAAGATCTCTCTCTCCTTCCTCCTCTCACTTGAACTGTCTTTCAAATAAAAAAATGAATTTTAAGAAAAGATGACTTCAAAGGCATATATGTTACAGAAATAATAAATATTTGAGAAAATTAAAATGTAAATTATCCAGATTTGATCACTAATAGTTTTCACATGTCAAACTCATAAATACATACATGTATTATGTGTCAATTAAAAATAACAAATTAGGAGCCAGCTCTGGATTGCAGTGACTTTGCAGTGACTTAACCTGCAGTGCTGGTATCCTATACTGATGCTGGTTTGGATCCCAAATACTCTACTTCCGATGCTGCCCCTTGCTAATGCTCCTGGGAAAGCAGCGGAAGATGGCCCAAGTCCTTAGGCCACTGCACCCACATGGGAGAGGGGAAGAAGCTCCTGGTTCCTGGTTTCACCCAGGCTCAGCCCTTGCTATTCTGGCCATTTAAGCACAAACCAGAGGATGGAAGATCCTTCTGTTTCTCTGTAACTCTGCCTTCTAAACAAAAAAATCAATCTTTAGCCTTTTTTCTCATGATTATAAAACATTTATAAAAATAAATAACTAAACAGGGCTGGCATGTGGCACAGTAGGTTCAACCACTGCCTGTGACACCAGGCATATGCATGATTTGAGTCTTGGCTGCTCTGCTGGATGAAAAGCTCTCACTTTGTTTCTCCCTCTCTGGAACTGCCTTCTATCCCGGCAACATTGGCTCAAGTCCAAGTTGCTCCACTCTGATCAGCTCCCAGCTAGGGGCTCCTGAGAAGCAGTGGTTGAATCTTAGCATGAGGGAGACCTGGAAGGAGTTCAAGGATCCTGGCTTTGGCCTGACCCGGTCCTGGCCATTTTTGCAGAGTGAATCAGCAGACGAGAGATCGATCTTTCTACCTCTCCTTCCCTTGTGTAACTCTGCCTTTCAACAATCTTAAGAGAGAGAGAGAGAGAGAGAGAGAGAGAGAGAGAGAGAGAAAGGCAGTAGCAACAGCTAATTTACATTCTGGGAGGCAGCAAGTGATAATCCTAGTAACCAGGTACCTGCCATGCACATCAGAGCCTCAGACTGAGTTCCTGGCTTCAGTTCCAGCTATTAAAGGATAATAGACCTCAGTCGGTACGTCTCTCTCTCTCTCTCTTTGTCTTTCAAACAAACAAAAAACACATAAACCGGGCCAGGTGTAGTAGCCTAGTGGCTAAAGTCCTTGCCTTGCATATGCTAGGATCCCATACGGGCACTGGTTCTAATCCCGGCAGCCTCACTTTCCATCCAGCTCCCTGCTTGTGGCCTGGGAAAGCAGTCGAGGACGGCCCAAAGCTTTGGGAACCTGCACCCACATGGAAGACCCAGAAGAGCTCTTGACTTCTGGCTTTGAATCGGCTCAGCTCCAACATTGCAGCCGCTTAGGGAGTGAAACAGCGGACGGAAGATCATCCTTTCTGTCTTTCCTCTTCACTATATATCTGACTTTCCAATAAAATAAAATAATTATCTTTAAAAAACACACATATACACATATACACACTGAGGGGGTGGGCATTTGGTGCCTGAGGCTGCATCTTGGCTCCACTGTAGCACTGCAGCACGCGCTGACAGCAGCAGGTGAAGGCTCCACTAATTAGGTCCTTACAACTGCTGTTCACCAAGTAAGTTTCTTGGCCTGGCCCGCCTTGACTGTTGCAGGCCTTTGGGCAGTGAACCAGCACACAGCTCTAGCTTCAGCGCTCACACATGTGCTCTCTTACTCTGCCTTTCAAGCAAATATTTTAGAACCACAATGAGGTATTACTTCAAATCGGTAAGAATGGCCAATATCAAAAAGCAAAACCGAGGCCAAGTGTTTAGCCTGTAGTTACGATATCCATGTCTGGGGGCAACACTGTTGTGCAGTGCCACTGACTGTGATGCTGGCAGCCCAGCTGCTGGGGCTGGTGCCATGGCTCAACTGGCTAATCCTCCACATTTTAAGTACTGGCATCCCACATGGATGGCAGTTCACATCCCAGCTGCTCCACTTTGACCCAGTTACCTGCTTATGGACTGGGAAAGCAACAGAGGATGGTTCAAGTCCTTGGGACCCTGTACTTATGTGGGAGACCCAGAAAAATCTCCTGGCTTCTGGCTTTGGATCTGTTCGGCTCTGACAATTTCAGCTATTTGGGGAACAAAGACCTTTCCCTGTCTGTCTCTCCTTTCCTCTATAAATCTACTTTCCCAATAAAAATAAATATTAAAAAAAAAAAAAAGACCCAGCTGCTCTACTTCCAGTCAGGCATCCTGCTAATGCGTCTGTGAAAGTGGCAGAAGACGGCCCAGTTATGTGGGCCCCAGCACCCATGGGGGAACCCAGGCTGGATATCCTAGCTTCTGTGTGGCCCAGATCTGGCCATTGCAGCCATCCAGGGAGTGAAGCAGTGACTAGAAGGTCTTTCTCTCTCTCCCTCTGATGCTCTGCTTTTTAAAAAATAAACCTAAAACCATGAAATGACCAAAAGATTTGAATAGATGCTTCACCAAAAAAGATACAGATGTCTTACACATGCAAAGATGCTTGATATTATTAGACATTTGAGAAACAGAACACAGCATTTAGAATAGCTCAAATAAAAAAACTGGGGACAGTGCTGTGGCACAGTGAGTGATGCCAGCATCTCCTACGCATACCCATTGGAATCCTGGATGCTCCATTTCTGATGCAGCTCCCAGTTAACAGACGTGGGAAAGCAGTGGATGGTCCCATGCCAGAGCTCCTCCTACCCACTCAGAATGGGAGGAGCTCCTGGCTCCTGGCTTCAGCCTGACCCAGCCCTCGCCATTGTGGCAATTTACAAAGAAAACCAGCAGACTGAAGATCCCTCACTGTCTCTTTCTCTCAGTAACTCTTTCAAATAAATAAAAACTTACCATACAAGTACTGGAATTCTCATCATGCTGTTGGTGGGTATACAAAATGGCATAGCCATAATGCCATTGTCAAAAATCCATAGAACTAAATTATGCTCTAATAAAAAAGGATAAACACTAAAAGAAAAACATAAGGCTCAAAATGATTGGAAAAGTGTTATAATCAGAGATAATAAATAAGATGGCCTAAATGTTTAAATATGTTAGCAATAATAACAAATGTAAACAAGTTAAACTCACCTGTCATAAGATGCTCTCATTCTGAATTACCCAGATCCGATTATATGCTTCATAAGCAACCTAAAACAAAATAATACCAAGATGAAATTAATAAAATATTAAAATATTAAAATTGCCAGTCACAATTCCACGAAGGTATTACACAGTGGCAACTTATATACAATACTGTTATTATGATACCATATTTGTGTAACCTATAATTCCAAAATGCTGTTTCAGTGTATCTGTTGTCATTTTCTTCTTCCTCAAAGCTTAAGCTTGACACATTCCGCTCAGCTACATTGATTCAATAAGGTACCGTACCCACTGCCTCCATGAACAGGCAGACCCTAGACCATTTTCAAAGGCATTGTGGTAATGTGATGGCAATCAAGACAAAGCGCCTTCAGCAGAGTTATAACTGCTTCAGTAAATGAAGTATAATTATTTATCAGGCACAAATGCACAATTACAGTTAAGTTGCTTGCAGATTCTTCTGTACTATAAATCTCTCTGAATACAGTACCTGTGCCAAATTTATCGTTCTATGCAACCAAATAACATATATTTTCTACCTAAACCTGTTAAACACAAGGAGTTAATGCTGTTGAGATTATTAGGAGTAAGCAAGAGTAGCAGGTTGGGAGTTGAAAAGGCCAGGTTTGGGGAAAAAAAAATCCAATGAACACATAGAAATTTAGAAATCTTAATCCTTCCTGTATCACATCAGGAATGGATATAGAAACAGAACATGAAAGATAATGGTTTGTGGAAAAGAAATTAAAACTTCTTACTTATAATACAGACTTAAAAAAAAAACACTTAATATTATCTAAACCTCAACATAGTAACTTGTGATAGAAAGAATGCTAGTACCCACATGACAGATTCACACACTGAGGCATGAGGATTAAGGACCACACCAGAGACCAACACTGCGGCGCAACGAGAGAAGCCAGCACTCAAGCAGAATCCCACCCCAGAGTGTCAGTCTGACACACTGAGCCAGTTTCCTCCCAGTGCCCCGGGAAGGCAGCCAATGACACCCCAGTGCCTGGATGGGCCCCCGATACCCATGTGGGGACCAAGACGGAGCTCTTGGTTCCTGGCTTCAACCAGCTCTACCCCTGGCTAGTGCAGCCAGTGCGGCCATTTGGGAAGTAAACCTGCCGATCAATCTCTGTCTCTTTATTGCCGTCTTTCAAATGAATAAGTAAGTAAATCTTTTTTTTTTTTTTTAAAGATTTATTTTTATTGGAAAGTCAGATACACAGAGAGGTGGAGAGACAGAGAGGAAGATCTTCTGTCCAACGGTTCATTCCCCAGGCAAAGCAACGGCCAGTGTGGCGCCGATCCAAAGCCAGGAGCTTCCTCCGGGTCTCCCATGCAGGTGCAGGGTCCCAAGGCTTTGGGCCGTCCTCCACTGCTTTCCCAGGCCACAAGCAGGGAGCTGGATGGGAATCAGGGCAGCTGGGATCAGAACCGGCGCCCATATGGGATCCCGAGCATGTTCAAGGTTAGGACCTTAGTCACTAGGCCACCGTGCCAGGCCTAATAAATAAGTAAATCTTTAAGAGGGAAAAAAAACTCAGACCCAAAACCAGAACCTAAACTCTGCTAGTCACCATTCCTATAACTTTTTTTTTTTTTTGGAAAGTCAGATATACAAAGAGGAGAGACAAAGGAAGATCAGCTGCCCATTGATTCACTCCCCAAGCAGCTGCAGTGGCCGGAACTGCACCCATCCGAAGATCAGAGTCCAGAGACTCCTCCAGGTCTCCCACATGGGTATAGGGTCTCAAGGCTTTGGGCCATCCTCAACTGCTTTCCCAAACCACAAGCAGGAAGCTGGATGGGAAGTGGAGCTGCCGGGATTAGAACCAGCACCCATATGCGACCCAGCACGTACAAGGCAAGGAATTCAGCCACTAGGCTACCACACTGGGTCCAACTTTTTTCTATACCCTGTTGAGTTAAGCACAATGAAAAAGTACAGCCAGTCCTTACAGTATATAAAACTCATTTACATAAATAGCCATTCTAAAACACTACTATTAACACGAAGATTGGAATCAACATTATGATTTAGTTGGCTAAGCTGCTTTGGAGAATGGCTTCCCATTGAGGCACCAGTTCGACTCTTATCTGCTCCACTTCCAATCCAGCTCCCAGCTAAAGGCATGAGAAGCCAAGACACAAGCCAAGTGCTAGGGCCTCTGTCACCTACATGGGAGACATGGATAAAACTCCTGGCTTCAGCTGGCCCAACCCATGATTTAGTGGCCACTTGCGGAATAAATTAGCAGATGAATTATCTATCTTTCCTTTTCTTCGTAATAAATAAATCTTAAAATAAAATAAACAGACTAGAGAGCAGAATGCTTGGACTAGATACCTAGGACTTGTACTGCAGTATCCAGGGAGTTTAATTCCTTCATCCAATTCCTGACTCCAGCTCCTCACCAGTGCAGACCCTGGGAAGTGATACTGACAGCAAGTAACTGGGGTTCTTGCTACCCAAGTGAAAGACTTACATTCAAGCTCCTGGCTCCCAGCTTGCCATAGCTGAATCCCAACTGTTCATGGATATTTGGGCAGTGAATCAGCAGACAGGCACTCTACTCTTTTTTTCTCTGTGCCTCTCAGGTAAAATTTTAACCCTTCCAGTATGTGGATTTTATTTGGATCCTTATTCAAAATAACTCACTTGTTAAAACTCTTATTTAAGGCCACAAGCAGGAAGCTGGATGCTCATCCCAAATGAGCAACAAGGTGGAGTCCTGGCTGCTCCACTTCCAATCCAGCTGCATGTCAGTACACCCAGGAAATCAGCAGAGGATGGCCCCAGTGCGCAGGGCTCTGCATTCACCTGGGAGACCCGGATGGAGTCCCAACTCTCAGCTCCAGCCCTATCCACACCTAGCGGCAACATATGGAAGACTTCTGTTTCCACATTTCTATCTCTCCCTTTGTAATTCCACCTTTCAAATAAATGAATTCTATAAAAAGTAGCAGACTGCTCTCGTATAAATAACACGCTTACCGAGTACAGTATAAATTCATTTACAAAGTCCAAAAAGAACATCACCTCCTCCATGAAGTTATACTTCCCAACAGTGTTTGCCTATTTACAGCTTTTCCTTTTGCTATAATTCCACATTTTAGTGGAAAAAAACAAAATAATTACATGTCGTAAGTATTAAAAACTGATGAGTGGGGGCAGGCACAGTGGCATAGCAGGTAGCTGCAATGTGGGATGCCCTCATCCCTGCTGGGGTGCCTGGCTTCAAGTCCCACCTCTGCCCCTGATCCAGCTTCCTGCTAATGGCCACACTTCGAGGGAGCAGGTGACGGTTCAGGTACTCGAGTCCCAGAAGGAGTTCTGGCTCCTGGCGGCAGCTCTGCCCAGTCCGGCTGTTGCAACATTTGAGAGGAATCGGGGGACAGATCTCTTCTCCCTCTCTCTGCCTTTTCAATAATAACCAAATTTTTCTAAAAACTGTATTTTAAGGTTAACAGATTAGATGATTTTTAAGTTTATTTTTGTTTCTTCCAAACAGGTCTTCCTTATATGTGCTACTTAACAAGGCAAGTGACAAAAACTCGTTTCGGCTGATAGCTGGGCAAATTCTAAAAAACACTGCTCAGCGAACCACAGCAGATGAATCCATCGGGGTGTGCCAGTTCTAATGAACAATTCTCTGCAAGTACTACCCCTCCAGGGTTTGAATCTTAGCGTCTTCTGACACACTATAATTTAATAGTAATGTTACCGTATCAAAGCAAAAAAAAAAAAACAAAACCTCCCATGACTAAAACCCCAAAAGATTAGCTGAGACATTTGTAAACCACAAGCAAATACGAGGGACACTTAATATTGTGTAAGAATTCAGCTATTACCGTCCTCAAATATTTTTAACAAAAGGCCGAGAACTCTGGGGAGGGCGTTGTTAAATGCACGTTACACAAAATTCTTAACAGTAGAGTAAAATGGAGAGCACGATGGATTGGAACACAGATATAGCCTGTAAGTACAAATCATGATTGCCAATAAAAAAAAATCATGTAATATGATTTTTTCCCATTTGGTTATAAAGCTTATTAAAATCCTAAATTAAATGGAAAAGGTATTATCTAAGATCTGTAGTCTTTTAGAATTCGTAAGGCTTCCATCGTCACCATAGCCACAGCAGGTAGCAGCCGCTCTGAGGGAAAGGTCAGCCAGGGCAGCATGGCTTACCACTCGCTAATGCACAAAGAACAGCCCCTCAGCCTCTAGCACACCGCTGCTAACAGCAGCCAAACACAGAAAGGAGCTGTGGGAACTGTACACTAAGACATGCTCCTACAACACAACCTACGTCTGCTTTTCAGAACTAGTGCTAAGGAAGAGAGAACAAGTGAGGACAAAGATGTGTGTACAAGAATGTTTATCACCGTGCTACTGAACTGCAGAACAAGTTTTCAAAATTAGAAAAAGAATCATACAGATTACATTGTATTCATGAAATGGTAGGCTATGGACCTTTTAAAGAAATATTACTACGAACAATTTAGTGACATGAAAATACATTCATATGTTCTTGGGAAAGGGCCAGTTAAAGGGTTACAGCACAATTGTCACTAATTTTAAAATTAGGAAAGATTATTTATAAAAATCAATTAGCATTTCATGCATGATAAACTTGGCTGACCACACAAATCCAATTCTAGATCTTGACTTGCAAGAACTAAACCAAATAGGAAAATTCCATCACTGGCCACTAACTCTTAGGCAGATTTGATTTATGGGTTAATTTTCAATCAGTCTCTCATATTGCATTTTCTTTTTTTTTTTTTTTACTAGAAAGAGATGATACTACCATTCTTCAGGACATTTTATGCAGCATTCAACCAACAACTAAGATTTAACAGTACTAACAAATATTTAATTCCATGCTTCCATTTTCTTTACCTGAGAAACAACAATCTGTGTTTTTATCCACTGCAGAGAGTCCAAGGTAGTTCCAGAATTTAGACAAGATCCTCTGCACATTAGGTAGCAAAAAGTTAAACACATAATCCGTGAGCTGCCTGGTGAGCCTTTAGAACATAATGTAAGAAAAAGGAGAATTGGTTTAGGAGCCCGAAACGGGATTCTGTTATGTGACCTTGAGACCGTGGCTTTGCTCAGTCTGAATTCCCTCATCCGTAAAACAAAGACAACCACAATGCACACCGCAGCTTGTAATAAAACTTTATATAGCCAGCACAGGCTTGGTACATAGTGGCAAAATATGGTAGGAAATGGTACTTAAAAATAATAGTTCAATGCACAGTCTCAATTATATTAGCCTATTGAAAGTAAAGTCTACTGCTGATACTAGTTCTAGGTGAAAGTCCAAAACGACCACTACACTGTACCATCATTTATGCCAACTAACTAGACAAGAGCCACTAAATATGCCAATCAAGTTGGCAAGATCTGAATGAACATATACATATTCCAAAAAGTCCTTTGAAAGTTTATGGACAGTGTATACTGTAAAAAATACATGCAAAAAAAATTTTTTTTGCACCAAAATAAACTTATCTTTTAGTTCCATTTCTCTAGAACTTTCTGAAGTATCCTCATATGGCTAGGGAACTTTTACTTTTAAATAGTGAAAGAATGGAGGAAGACAGACTTCCCTGTTATTTAAAGAAACCTAAAAATCAACAGAGGCAAGGAAGGAAGCAAACAGGGTAAGGCCTGGAGAGGACAACCGGTTGCAACCCATGGTACCTGGAAGCTGATTAACAGCATGCATCCAACAGGGTCTGGTTACACAGCGCCAACTGGGCGCCGTTGCTCCGACACCGGACGCAGTGCTGTGGATTCCACTCGCGTCTGACCACCAAGACAGAAAAGGATGGCCGAAATTGAAACATTCCCTTGAAAGGCAGTTCTGATTACAGCCCCTCTTACGTGCATATTAGCATCAGTGAAATGTTTTTGATGACAGACTAGCACAGGAAATCTCTTTAATCCAAGTACCCCTAGTCCCTACATGCACTCTTATTGCACGTTTAATAAAAAATCTGGGTTTTTTTGTACCTTCAAGCTAAAAATGCGAGTTAAATTTCACAAGATGTATGCAGACTTCACAGTGAGGTGATACGAAAAAGCTACATTATCATTTGCAGGGAACTTCTAGAAGATCCGCACCGTAGTGCACATTAACTCCCCTCCCAAGAATCAAACGCTGCTGCTTTGTAAAGTTCTCTTTAGCCTAGAAACAATCGGGTTTTCTTCCCAATCAGGCAAGGAAAGGAGCATGGATGGACGGATGCAATCACGATGCTGGGATATTCTATTTGTGAAGTGTTCGAGAAGAGAGTTAAGTTACAAGAATGAATCAGCACAATCCCATCCCCAACCAAAACCACCTAAGTTCTCTGCGCTTGGCGCCCCACACATGAGAAGTTACCACCTTTCTGCGTTAACAACTTTGACATTGCGGGAGGAAGGAAGACTGGGGAGGGCGCAAAACAGGCGCCCCTGAGGACGGCCATTTCTCAGGTCTGACAGCAATTCAAAGTGACTTTAGGGGCCTGAGCAAGTCCTCAAACCCTGGTACGGAGGCCTAAGAAATCCGAAACCCAACACAAAGCGAGAGTAAACGGAGGGCGAAGGGAACAGAAACGGGGGAGAGGTTTTGTCTGTTTCCGACACCGTCTCCTGACACGGGTGGGCGCTCAAATGGAGCACAGCGAACCTCGATGCCTACAACATGTTTCTGGCATTTGCATCAGATACAACATTTACTGCTGTTTGCATCCAACGCAATAGTTACTTCCTGAAATGATAATTACAACGACAACACTACCAATCATCACGTTAACGGTTGTTGTTCAAAGTAATAATAAGGGAAAGAATGAAGTGTTCTCTTGGCTCAAGACCAAAAGCAAGGGGGAGAAGCACTCAGGCTCGCCCGCGAGTACCCCGGGATCCCGCCCGAAGGGAGCGCGAACCCCGAGATCCGTCAGTGGAGCGCCCCGAGGCCCAGTCACGCCTGCCGGGCACCCCGGACCGTTACACAGCCGACGCCCGAGGCGCGGGCACGAGCGGGGTGCGCTCCCCGCCGAACCCAGCCGGGCGGGAGCCGGCCAGCGTGGGGCTGTGGAAACCAGGGCCTCCGTCTGGGCCGAGCACCGACCTGGGCGTCCCGCCTTCCCCTCTCGTGCAACAGCGGTTCCCGGGGCCCGCGACTGAGAGAGCCACAGCTCGCCCTAAGCCTCCTTCCGCCTCTTCCCGCCCGATTTCCCGCGCACTCGCGCGCTCGCGCCCCTCCCCCCGATCCCAAGGACTCCTCCGGGCCTCGAAACCGCCGCCGGGCCGCCCTCTCCCTGCGCGCGTGCACGCGGCCGCCTCCAGTTCTCGCGAGAGGTTCCCCCGCCTGCCTTCCCCTGCTCTGCTCCCCCCAACACCGCTAGCGAGTGCGCGAGCGAGAAAGGAGGAGGGCGCTCTAGGCGACGGTACTGCAGACGCCATTATCCTCTGTTTCTCTGCCGCACCGACCTCTACGTCTGGTCTGCGTCCCACTGGTTTTGGACCGGAGGTAACTGGAGTGAGCGGGATTTAGATACTGCGGGTTGAGAGGCGTGAGGCCTTGCTGAGAGGCTGCGCACACTCCTCCTCAGGCCCGGGGTTTCCTAGGCCTTGAGTGGACTTAACAGCCCGTAGGGAGGCGCCGGCGGGAGGCGGGGTTGTGGCCGCCGTGGCCCGGATAGACGCAGCCGTGAGCCAATCGCCGCGCACTCGCACCACCGCCGTAGTTGGGGCAGCCAATCGGGCGCGACGGCGGGGAGAGAGGGCGGGAGGCGGGGGAGGGGCCTCGCGCTGGTTCTCTATCTAGCTGTGACCGGCTGAGGCGGCGCGGCGGCGAAGGGACGGCGGCCTCGCGCGGTGAGGAACGGAGCCGAGCGAGCGTCGCGCGAGGGAGAGGGTCGGAGCCCGGTGTGGCGGCTCGCGGGGGCATTGGAGGGGGTTGCCCGGTGGTTGGCCGCTGCTCCGACGCGGGGCGAGGGGGGTGGTGGTGGTAAACGTTGCCCGCTTCCCCTCCCCCACCTCCGCCATTTCCCTGAGTGTGTATCCGCAATCCGGGCCTCGGGATCAGGACCGTGTGGAGGGGATCGTGAGGCATGTGCCTTTGGGGGGTGACCCATGGGTTAGATGGCGTGGGCAATGAGGCGGCTGCGTGTGGAGCAGCGAGAGAGAGGGCCGGAGACGGCGGGCAGCGCCGCGACCGCCCCGCCGCGCTCTTTGTGCGGGGCCCGCGGCCCTGAGGGCCCCCCGGGCCGGCGTTGGGGCCGGCCGAACGGTCGCGGGGGCTTTGTCTCCCGGCCGCCGGGCGGGGGAGGTGCGGGGCCGAGCGCCCGGGACCGCGTGGTGGGTGGGGGAGGGGGTCCGCGCTCGGCTCCGCCTCGGAGCACGTAGTCGCCATTACGCGGGCCGCCATTTCCTGTCGGGGCCGAGAGAGTGGAGGGGCGGCGGTGGCGGCTGGGGCGGTTTTGTTTTTGTTTTGTTGTGTCGTTGGTTTGTTTGCTCGTTTGCTTTGGCTTTTTGCGCCCGGACGGCTGGGCTGCTGGCGGGCACTGCGGCGGGAGGCGCGCCCCGAGTGGTGCGGGGACTGCGGCGGTGCCCCGGGGTTGAGCAGCCTCACGGTAGATGCGGGTTGTTGGGATTTTTTTGTTGTGGTTGTTTTTGCTTCGACCCCATCAAGCCTTCCACACCCCAGAATTGAACTGAGTGGCGGGGCAGGCTCTTGAGGCTACCGTTTCTGTCAACCGTTAGGGGAGACTGACTTGCTTAGGAAGCCAGGAGTATTGTTTTTTCTCCTCGAGAGTGCTCCTTCTCGCCCTTCGGGTAGGGGCCTCACGGCAGAAAGGCGGCTTGCCATCTTTCGCCTTCTGGCCGCCTGGAATCTAGTGGTTAGGGTGTGCTCTTTGAACCTGATGGACACTATTCTGCAGATTGGTAGGGCTGTTCCTTCATTGGGTTTTGCAGTTGGTTATTCCCATTAACGTTGGAGGTTTTAAATCTTTTCATAATGTCATGCTCATATTTTTAAGGGCAAAATGGAATTCCACAAGATTTGGCTTTTTCAGTTCTCAGTAAAGATACAACGTAAAGATTAGTTTTTCCGTCTCTTTGCCCAAACTCTCCCTCTCGCCCACAGTCGCTTGAATTTGAAAACCCTGAAATGAAGAGACAACTTGCATAGTTTGTCGTGTTGCAGTTTGTTCCTTGTGGTTCGAAAGGAGTAAAGGCAGTAAACAAACCAAAACTGCCTTGTTGGTTTTTACAGGCTACAGCAGCGCTAGGGTATCAGTTGGTCCTGCCCAGAATACTTCAGTTCTGCTCTGCAAGGAAATATAATAACTGGTAAGTTTGTAGCAATGGTCTTTTTTTTTTTTAACGCTTACATGTGGAATTTCCCCCACTCCATCCCCCACTCCCTTCCCCAAAAAAAGAACATACTCTAGTATCTCGTTATTTTTTGCAGATTGGTGACTATTTAATACGAAAAAATGGAAACTGAACAGCCGGAGGAAACCTTCCCCAACACTGAGACCAATGGCGAATTTGGTGAGGCATTTTTACTTTTATATGACTGACTTGAAGGGTCATTTCTTACCATTTACCTATCTGTCTGGGTTATTTTCACAGTCAGATGCCAGCTGTCAGGTCACAGTTCTTATTTACAAACTGGAAGTGCTTTGTATAGATACACTAAAAAGGGCCTTTCAGAATTTTTGCTTGAGTTTTCACATGCAGGAATTAAAGGTCAGGGCAAGAAGTACCTTTGGCCTTTCTGTTAAAACATGAATTAGCAGTACTTTTTTTTTTTTTTTCACTTGAAATAGTTGCTGTATTTGAAATTTCCACTGTGAATTTTTAGGTAAGCGTCCTGCGGAAGATATGGAAGAGGAACAAGCATTTAAAAGATCTAGAAACACCGATGAGATGGTTGAACTACGCATTCTGCTTCAGAGCAAGGTATGTTTCAAATACAATAAAACTTTGGCCTTATGGAAAGCCTTCAAAGCTTTAGAGATTTATGTCAGTCTTTCTAAGCAGGTTTGTAGGCCCCAGTAATGTTTTGGTAATAATTAAAATGAAAGCTCTTGCTGTAATGAGCTCACCATGGGTCAGAGTAGGAGGTGCTTGGACGTGATTCTTCAAGCATTAATAGTGGATTAAATCTCAATTGCATTAAAAATTAATGGGCTGGCTATTTTCTTAATTGCTTTATCTTCGAGTCATAATACAGAGATGCCTATTTCAGTTCTTTGGTTCATTCTACGAGATGATAATGTGGCGTTTCTGTTTGTGTGTATGCCCAGTTTTACTCAGTCTTCAAATAATTTTTTATATTGGGTAAGGATTTCTAGCCATGTAGCAAAGACTGGATTTTGTTGTTAAAATCAGGCACAGACCACTCTAGTGACCGGCAGGTTAGGTTTATCTTTTGCTCTTTGTCTTCTACAGAACGCTGGGGCAGTGATTGGAAAAGGAGGCAAGAATATTAAGGCCCTCCGTACAGACGTAAGTATTCCAGATTTAAACTGCACAGCTTCAGTTTATGTGTTTCTAGAAATTTTAAAGAATTACATCATAAAAATCATTAATAGTTTAGGTGCAAGCAATTTGTACTAGTTGATTACATAAGTGATTTCAAGGTTTTCTGGTCCTGTTTTAACAAAAATCCAGATTAAGTAGAGTGGGGGATTTGTGTGAAACCTCAACATTTAAGATTTCTCCAAATTATTCACCTCGGGCAAGCTAACATAATTAGGAATAGTATTAAAATGTAAAAACCCTTAATTAATTGCACCATTTACCGTGTGTGAACCACAGCATTACTGAAAACCATTGCAGGTGGCTGATTAAACTGAATTTATAAGTTTTTTATTTGTCCATCTGTTTAACAGCTTGCACATGGAACACAAAAAAGATTTAATGTTCAGGTTGCATGGTTTAAATATGGGTGAAGAAAAGAGTAGGCACTTGAACTTACAATCAGGAAATCATTTGTCAATGCTATGATTTGTTTGAGTCTTCATATTTTATAGTGGGTTGACTCTTGTGATTAGACACATTAAATGTTGGCAGTGCCGGAAGTGAGCATATTCACAGGACTTGACACCAAAATTTCTAAATTTTTTCTCTTATACATTTCTTAATGTTTTTCTTGCTAAAATTGAGGCAAGTAATAGCTTTGTGTTTAAGTACTTATTTGACAGTATTTCATTTCTCTCTTGGTCGCAGATCTTTGTTTGTTCCTCTTGATTGCTGTAAACTGAACTTGAAAATTTGTTTAAAATTTTACCAACCTGCTTGTTAGGATCTAGGACCGCATTACAGACCTCCAGAAAACCAACCAAATCAATCTTAACTGCTAGTAGGGGTTTTTGGTGGTGTGGGAATTTTTGTTTTGCCTTTTATAAACCCCTCTCCTCCTAATCCAGATATTCTGTATAATTGTCTGGGTTATTAAATTTCCCCGTTTCCTCAAGAATTTCAGTAAACTTTGAGTCATGATAGGTTTTGTGTCTACCCTCATGAGCCAGCCTGCTACTGAAACATCGTTTGTTTTATTTTTTTCTTTCTTTTTTTTGAAAGTTAGAAACCATCATTTAAGGTCCTTAAATGTTAAGCCACAGTCAGGTATACAAAAGTCCATTATTGTGTTAGTCTTCAGAACAACTTAAGCTTGTTTCATTAATTGAGAGTATGAGTATAGTTTGTATTAAATTAAAATTTATTGCTTTTCCCCCTTTTCCCTCTCCTTGTTTTTTTGGCCATATATCTCCGTTGCCCATGTACTGGATCGACTTACCCCTGCGTTGCCCACCATGACGTTGGCCCATCCGCCCCTGAACGCCCATGTGAAAACCCTGGTTGGCTATGCCCAAAAATGTGCTCGTTGCCAAACGGGTACCATACTTGACAACTTCTGATTGAATGCCCATGCCCAATGCCAACATCCACGAACGCCAATGACCAATGCAGTACAATGCCAGTGTTTCAGTCCCAGACAGCAGTGGCCCCGAGCGGTATGTCCCAACAGTTTATGCCTCACTGCCTGATTAGAAAGAGAGAAATGTATTTTATTACCTGCCTTTTATATATTTAAATAGTATCCCCTTTAGACGGTGTATTGTTTTTCAAGTTTCTGTCTTATTTTCCCCATTAAGTCTTTTTGTCACTGAACTTTGACCGTGAGTTGCCCACCCAAACGATCCACTAATTTTATTTCGATGGAAGGAGCACAGCTTCAAGTGTTGCATATTTGCTGCATTGTAAATCAAATTGTTACCAAAATAGTCTCTCGCTCTGTCTTTGTGGCCCACCTTGCTTCCCAACATTGCCTGTTCATAATTTTTTCTGACAAAATGCTAACTCTGGTTCACTTTTCTTCACTTCTCATTTGTGTTGTCTGTTTTGTCTTGCATTTGTATTTGTTTTCTTGCAGAGCCCATTAGTGATCTGATTTCTAACTGGTATCCATAACCTTATTCCAGATATAATGTTCACCACTTGCATATTCCCCCACTTTGCCTAAGAGAAGGTGTGCCAGTTTTACCAATGTAACAGCGAGGATATCCTAACTTAGTGGTGGCGGGGAACATAAATATTCAACTCTGCTTCAGTTCTGGTCAATTTATTATTGCCCACTTAATCTGAGCCCTTCCAAAATCCCATTCTCTCTGTCTCTGCGAGTCTCCTAATCCTGTTACCATGTCTGTATTGGGCATAAAACAAAATGCATGTGAAAAATCTAAATAGGCAACTTTAAATGGGGAATATTAAATAATTGTTACTTCTCTGTAAAAGTTTGTAAGACTGTTGGTAGCAAACGTAAAACTCATTTTTCTTTTTCGTTCTTTTTGTACTATCTGGTATTTGTGATGTTTGACAGCATATTGAGTATCAGTGCTGATATTGAAACAATTGGAGAAATTCTGAAGAAAATCATCCCTACCTTGGAAGAGGTAGGCTTCTTTTTTACATGTATTTGGTTCTATGGGAGGGGGTGGGAATGCTTATGTGTTACTAATGGGATTGGTGGAGACAACAATAGGTGAAACCAATTGTAGCAATAACCTACTTCATTGTGTGTATTAACATCATGGGGACTTTCTGTTTTTTAATAACTGGCCAGTTGGAGTAATATCAGCTACTTGATGGCCATTTGCTTTAATGGATTTAGCATATATTGTAGACTCTAGCTTAAGAATAGATATTACTAAAATCAAATATTCATTCTGAGAATGTTGGATAAGATGGTTGGCTCTGATGACGGCTTAATGTTTAAGTTTTAGTGTTAGATAAGAAGTTTCTCATTATTAACATTTAAAATGTTGTAGTAGCTTTACCAATATATGCGACAATAGCCTGATCACGCTAGACACTTAACCTATTACTCTTATTTTTCTACTTTCAGGGCCTGCAGTTGCCATCACCCACTGCAACCAGCCAGCTCCCGCTCGAATCTGATGCTGTGGAATGCTTAAATGTATGTCATAGTGCCATTGAACCCCACTGAAGTATGGAGCCTGGCCCATAGGATTAATTTTATTTTTAACATAGTGTGCTTTTCCCATCTCTATAGAAAAAGGCTTTTTAAAAGAACGAACAAACAACATGATATGTGAATGTCTTCTAACTCACTGTTGACCCTGCTCCATGCTGCAGTGGGAATTAAACTACATTTGCAAAGTGCTTTGCAGTCATTTTTATTATAGTGTTATTTGAATGTTAATAATAATAATAATTTTGTAGTAACAGCGACATGCTAAATGGCTGCAGTGTGGGTATGGTGTTGCAGGACCTGAAAATAAAATAGTTTTTTAAGGTGGTGCAGAATGTCCTTTTTGGGCCTGGCTATTGAGGATAATAAGCACATAACTGGTAAAGTTATTGAAATATAAATTCAGGTTGCTCACTGCAACAATGTATTATTACGCTTATGGCAGAAAAGTGTGTATTGGGGAGTTACATGATTTGAGACTAAAATTTTATAATTCTCCTTCTACAGTACCAACACTTTAAAGGAAGCGATTTTGACTGCGAGTTAAGACTGTTGATTCATCAGAGTCTGGCTGGTGGAATTATTGGGGTCAAAGGTGCTAAAATCAAAGAACTTCGAGAGGTAATGGCACTATTCTCTTAACTGTTACAATGCTTGTTAGGGAGTAATTTTTCATGTAGATTGGGTTTGTGGGTATCTGTCTCTTTTAATTTCTTCGTAAGAGACATTCTTATCTGCTGTTTCAGAAAGGCCTGGTTTTCCCAAAATAGTTGTTTTGCAAATTTATGTGAAGTTTGGAAATTCATTTTTCCATTTACTGATCTTTCTTTTTGTTAAACTTACAGAACACTCAGACAACAATCAAGCTTTTCCAGGAATGCTGTCCTCATTCCACTGACAGAGTTGTTCTCATTGGAGGAAAGCCTGATAGAGTTGTAGAATGCATAAAGATTATCTTGGATCTTATTTCTGAGGTATCTTTATAATGCTTTGTTTGAACTAAAAATAATTGTAATGCTTGAACAATCCCAGTCCCTAACCTTTGGCACTTGGCTGCAGCCATCCCTGCAATTTAGAAATGGTTTTGGTAAATTGGAGAGTGGTCATGGGTGATAACTGTCATATCTTTTGGTCCTTTAAATGAAGTTTGCTGTAGTACAGCTTGTATCCTACATTGCTACAATTACACTTTTCTATCTGTTAAGCCCCAGCTTGAGTTGTAGACCAGCCCAAAACAATAATTGCCTCAGCCAGTTCACAGGTTGGTCTGTTCTTGGTCCTGTTTCTCTGTAGTTAATTGACAGTAAATATGAGAGATCAGTTAACTTGCCCTTCAAAACAAGTTAAACTCCATTTTGTTTAGGGCTGGGAAAGCTAATACTTAATTTAATCCTTTGTTAGCCTGTTTTGTTGTCCTTGCCACTAGTACCTTCTGGAAAAACAAATGTCTTCATAACAAACCAAAACTGGTTTTCTTTATTTAGTCTATAAGATTCTTATCTTTGTTTTTTAGTCTCCCATCAAAGGACGTGCACAGCCTTATGATCCCAATTTTTATGATGAAACTTATGATTATGGTGGTTTTACAATGATGTTTGATGACCGCCGTGGCCGACCTGTGGGATTTCCCATGCGGGGAAGAGGTGGTTTTGACAGAATGCCTCCTGGTCGTGGTGGGCGCCCCATGCCCCCATCTAGACGAGATTATGATGATATGAGCCCTCGCCGAGGACCACCACCACCACCACCTGGACGAGGTGGACGAGGTGGCAGCAGAGCTCGAAATCTTCCTCTTCCTCCTCCACCACCACCTAGGGGAGGGTAAGTGCTTTCACCTGAAAATAGTATACAGAAGGCAGGTGTTTGGTAGTGGGATAGATGCTGCAAGGGATATACACAGACTGTTTACAGTAACTACTGTGCTTACAGAGATCTAATGGCCTATGACAGAAGAGGAAGACCTGGAGATCGTTACGATGGCATGGTAAGGGCATTGTTTTCATTCTCTATCATTATGAACTATTAACCTGGAGGGTAAAATTTTTTAACTAAAATACTTAACACCGTGTTAGTAGTATTCAAAGTGCTTTCCATGAGTGTATTGATGTAAATAAGTTGATAAATCATTCCCTTTTTGCTGCAATGTTACACTGACGTTGAATTGTTCCCCACAAAAGAACTGCTGATCAGTGTGTGTGTGTGTGTGTGCGCGCGCGCGTGCGCATAGCATGCATTGACAATTTAAGCATGTTAATATCTCTAAAACAGGTTGGTTTCAGTGCTGATGAAACATGGGACTCGGCGATAGATACATGGAGCCCATCGGAGTGGCAGATGGCTTATGAACCACAGGTAGGGTCATGTGTAATGGAGTACATGTCTGAATGTAAATGCTTCCTTGCTTGCTCTCTAGCAAGTCTTTTCCCTCATGTAGTGTGTTTTTGTCTTTTTGAGTAATGAAATTACCTAAAAATTTTCAAAACAAATAATTTTGTTTTTTTCTTCCTGTTTTTAGGGTGGCTCTGGATATGGTAAGTTTTCTCCTTTATGAAATAAAGCATCATTTCATACTTTTTTTAAAATCGACTTAACTGCTCATCATTTAAATCAGATTATTCCTATGCAGGGGGTCGTGGTTCATATGGTGATCTTGGTGGACCTATTATTACTACACAAGTAACTATTCCCAAAGATGTAAGTATCATTAATATGTCAGGACTGTTTGATTGTTCTGATTGCTATGTCATTTCATCCATTTCCACTAAGTTAAATGATTTTAACAAGTGTTTCACTTGAGACTTAGATTTAGGGGCTTCAGTGAAATGTTTGCCATTTGTCTTGTAAGGTGACTTTAGTGCCATAAAACCTGGGGGCATTTGAACCCCTCATTAATTATTAGGAAGTGTTGGTGAGTGGTGTGGAGGTATCAGCCCAGACTTGAGAGGAGGCATCAGTATAATCGAGTCTTAAAAAACTACACACTGAAGTGTTCTTTGAGCATTGAAAAATAAAGGTGGTAGTTTTCTGTAAAAGTAAACCCTAATGTTTTAAAATCTTTTCAGTTGGCTGGATCTATTATTGGCAAAGGTGGTCAGCGGATTAAACAAATCCGTCATGAGTCAGGAGCTTCCATCAAAATTGATGAGCCTTTAGAAGGATCCGAAGATCGGATCATTACCATTACAGGAACACAGGACCAGATACAGAATGCACAGTATTTGCTGCAGAACAGGTCAGTTTAAGATAAGCGTCATGTTGGTTTAAGACGTACTAAAACCTTGGGAAACTTCCTTCTTGGTTGATTTTTCTTTTAGAAACCATGGTGTCAGTCATTTGGGGACCTAACTTACATCTTAATAGCTTTGCCTTAATTTTTCTCTGCTTTCTTACTAAAAATGAAGACATTTATACTAATCTTTCTGGAAGAAGCCTTAACCAAGCAAACCTCTCATTCGTTCTCTGGTGAAAACTGCTGCCAAAACCACTTGTTATAAATTTATACAGAGCCTGTAGACAATATAGAAGAGTCATGGGATATTGGCCTTGTTCTGTGTGGAAGACTAGTGATTTTGTTGTTTTTAGATTACTGAATCGACAACAAATCACAGTCTACCATATGGCACAGGCCATGCCTCTACAGGACAAATGATTGGTGCTGTAAAAATGCAGCATTTCACACCTTCCTGACATTTCTTTTGTCTTTTTCATCAAATATTAACAACTTTGCTTCATTTTCTTAATCCTGTTCTACTAATGTCTGATTAACTATTAATCTTTTTTCTTGAATTTTACATTGCTTTAATTTATAATTGCTAATGCCTTTGTATTCTTATTTCTAATTATAAAGGACATGTTATTTTTAATTTAGCATTGAAATTGTCTTGATGTTGATTAGGATGTAATGAACAAAAATTCTAATTCGTACTTTTTTTTTCTTTTCTTTTATAGTGTGAAGCAGTATGCAGATGTTGAAGGATTCTAATGCAAGATATTTTTTCTTTTTTATAGTGTGAAGCAGTATTCTGGAAAGTTTTTCTAAGACTAGTGAAGAACTGAAGGAGTCCTGCATCTTTTTTTTTTATCTGCTTCTGTTTAAAAAGCCAACATTCCTCTGCTTCATAGGTGTTCTGCATTTGAGGTGTAGTGAAAATCTTTGCTGTTCACCAGATGTAATGTTTTAGTTCCTTACAAACAGGGTTGGGGGGGGGAAGGGCGTGCAAAAACTAACATTGAGATTTTGAAACAACAGCAGAGTGAGTGGATTTTATTTTTTGTTTATTGTTGGTGGTTTAAAAAATTTCCCCCCATGCAATTATTGTGAACACCTTGCTTTGTGGTCACTGTAACATTTGGGGGGTGGGACAGGGAAGGAAAGTAACTAATCCACATATCCCTGGCATCTGTTCAGAGCAGTGTGCAGAATGTAATGCTCTTTTGTAAGAAACGTTTTATGATTTTTAAAATAAATTTAGTGAACCTATTTTTTGGTGGTCATTTTTTTTTTAAGGCAGTCATTTTTAAGGTGGTGGCTCGATTTCCCAGCCCACCCCGAAACTAAACACTAAGTTTGATTTTCAGCTCCTTTGTTGGACATAAGTACATCTCTTCTTGGACATGGGGAAATATCTTGGGGGATTCCATTCTGGTGATTTGATGGTTCAAAAGTCCATTGCTCAGGAAGGAGTTCTATCATAATTGCTCATACTTAGAATAAGCAGGGCTTTTGTTTTTGGTGAGTGCTTACCCCACGTTCCGAAGGTTTTTGTTAGTTGTGAAGAACTACCGTGGGGAAGCGGTACTGGAGATTAATGGTATAAGTATATGCCAGAGCTTGATTAGCAGTAAGTTTTGATAAAAAGCGACAGTTCTGGAAGTGACTGATACTGAATAAATTGCTTATTTTTATTAGATGATTTCTCAACTATAGACTTCTGTCAACCTGCTAGTGTCTGTTAGTTAAACTTTGTAAAAATATATATATTCTTGTTTTTATCCATTGTATGCAAATTGAAAAAGATGTACCATTTTTCTGTTGTATGTTCGATTGTGTAGGAAATGTTTGTGAACTATTCAAAAATGATAAAAGTTCCTGTGGATGTTTTGTGTTAGTATTTTCACATTTGTATTGATAGTTTTAAAACTTCACTTCCAAATAAACTCCCATTAGGTTTGTGTTCGAATTTAAAAAGGGTTGATTGAAACTTGTAAAAGTTGTTGAAATGTTCTTCACAAGGAAATACAGTGATCTTAAATTATGTAAATTTCTGTGTGGATTTTTCCAGCACTTAAATTGATGGTGATGTTAGGTAGAAAAGTGAGTGATTCTTTTAGGTTGTATGCCAGCAAGAAGCCTAGTTGGTGTATTGCCTGTAAATGATTTTCAATTTTAAAGCTTTACCTGGGTGTTTGAGAATATTGGAGGTGATGGGAAAAGCTAGTTGGTTTCTTCCTAAAACTACCTCTAAAGCTTGAGAACCTGTTAGCAGTTGTATATTGAAAGAGAAGTTCAAGGACCTTTTGTATGTTACAGTGGGAATTGAGCAGTTGGGTGTGTGGGTGGGTCTTCTGAGGGAATTATGGGTACTCTATTAGATACGCAGCAGCAGTACATAAAACAGCATCACTTGAAATGCAGCTGTGTGTCTTAGGTTTGGTTCCTCAGGTGAGTTTAGACTGTTGTCACAGGGGGCTGGTACTTAGCTTCCCTTCTGTCAGCCACTCAACTGAATTGGGATTACATAAACTATTTGAAGATACCCTCCCTCAGTTTTACCTTGTACACTGAAGCTGACAAAAAGCAACAGGTGGATTGGAGAATATTTGGTCTTAATTACTATCACTACTAGGGAATTGGAAAGGGTAAGGGAAACATTGGACATGGCCAATTTTCAAGCAACTTGTATACCAGCCAAGGACATGCACAACATATGTTTAAACAGAAATAGGCAATATACAGTGAATTAAATAGCCTGAGGTGCCAGCATCCCATATGGCTAGCAATTTGGGCCCCAACTAATCTCGTCCTGCTCACATAGAGCCCAGTAGAAAAGGTCATCTGAGGCTCAGCATGGTAGCCTAGTGGCCGAAGTCCTCACCTTGGATGCACTAGCATCCCATAAGGGTGTCGGGTCATTTCTGAGCTGTCCTTGCCATCCAGCTCCCTGCTCGTGGCCTGGAAAGTCCCAATACTTTAGCACCCTGCACCCATGTGGGAGACCTGGAAGAAGCTCCTGGCTTCTGATCAGCTCACCTCTGGCAGTTGTATCCACTTAGGGTTGAATCAGCGGACAGAAGATCTTCTCTTGGTCTCCTCTGTATATCTGACTTTACACTAAAAATCTTCAAAGAAGAAAAAAGACGTTTATCTCTTGTGGAGCAGCAACTTAAACCCTCCAGTTTAATCCGTGTTTCCTGTTTTTTTGAAACTGGAAAGGCAGATCAGAATAGCAGAATTACTCCATCCAGTGGTTTACTCACGAGTTCCTGGTCCTTACAAGGTGAGCACTTTGCACTGGGCCCTAACCCAGTTTTGTGCTGATGTTCCCAGGAAGGCTGCAGGTGATGGCCCACCCCCTGCCACCCATGTGGAATCCCAGAGTTGTTGCATCTCCTGGCTTCTGCTTAGGACAGCCCCCACTTTGGGTAATGAAGCAGCAGGTGGAAACTACCTCCAGCTCATCTGTCCAGAACTAACAAATTCCAGTTCTTCAGTTTTTTTCTCTTACATCGAAACACATTTCCACCTCTAATACCTAGACCTGTAACAGGAAGTAAAGAGGAGTGAACAAACTTTCACACTTAGCAATCCTTCGATAAATTTTTTCCTGTTTTGATCATCGCCCAACTTCACCTCCCACTTTAAGAAAAAATGCCAAATCTGCTAGTAAGACCAGGTCACCTAGTACAACGTAGGGATAAAACAAAATTCAGGTTTTTACCAAAAGAAAGTGGGATCAAAGGTGATTATGTTGGTAAGACAACAGAGGAGAAGGTCTCTGTTTGAAACTTCCTAGCATTCCCTTTGGTGTAGGATGTGTGAGGCTGAAAAAGAAGAAATTCCAGGCAGAGGAATCAAGAAATAGAGAAGCAAGCCACCATCCTTGTTTTTAAAATTTGCTAATGTTCCTTGGAAAGGCAGGCTTACAGAGGAGAGATGTTCCATCTGCCGGTTCACTTGCAAAGTGGCTGCAGTTGCTACAATTGAGCTGGTCCAAAGCCAGCAGCTGCTTCCAGGTCTCCCATGCAGGTACAGGTCCCAAGGCTTTGGGCCGTCCTCCACTGCTTCCCCAGGCCACAAGCAGGGAGCTGGATGGGAAGTGGAGCTGCAGGGATTAGAACTGGCACCCATACGGGATCCTGGTGTGTTCAAGGCGAGGACTTTGGCTGCTAGGCCATGGCGCCAGGCCCATGGCTAGCTTAAACAGTACTACACTACTAGAAGAGACCCTTGGGCAGCGTCTGCTTCAGTACTCTTTAACTTCCCAGTTTATGTTTATAAACCTGTTTCTCCAGCATTTTGTGTGTGTGTGTGCGTGCACGCACTCTTTCATAAGCTTTGCAAACTTTTGTTACCCAGAGTCAGTTGGTAACACAGGCAGCCCTTCTGTTGAAGAGGTTCATTTTGTACAGGCAGCATTGCTAATTTTGAATTAATCAGCAATGAAATATGGGAAACATTTCTTTGCTACTTCAGCATTCTCTGCTGCCAACCAGAGTATCACTCTCAATTGTACCACCCTCAGCTAATGCATCTGGGAATGCAGTGGATCATGGCCTAGGCACTTGGGCATGCAGCACCCGTATGGGATACCTGGATAGAATGCTTAATTTCCTGACCCAGCCATAGTTGTTCATCTGGGAAATGAACTAATGAGTGAAAGATGTGTTTGTGTGTCTTTCAAAAAAAAAATCCCTACATCCAGCTTTGCACCTGTGTAGGACTAGATGCTCTCATAGGTAGAGAAAAGCAACGCAAAACTGAAACCAGAAGGAAGTTTATTAAATCACATAACTGAAGATCCCAAAGTTTAAAATGAAGGAAGAGTTGGTATAATCCTGTTATTCCATTTCTCTGCTTTTGTTGTTGCAACTTATTTTTTTTTTCCTTTTGGACCCCATGAATTGCCTTCCTGCTCACCCAGGTTACCACCAAAAGGTTTACAGCAGTTCCAGATAAAACATGCAAGCTCAGCAAGGTCTGGAAACAGCTAACAGACCTTTTTCTTGCACTTTACTGAGCTGCACCAAGGGACATGCGTAGTCCTAGCTGCTTGCAGACAGTGATGCTGGCAGCTCCTGACCAGCTCAAGGACTGAAGGTGCTGCTCTCCACAGACAGTGCTTACAGAGACTCCCAAATAATGAATGCTGGGGAGGGAGAAGGGAAGATGTTGAAGAGATAAAAAACAAACCTCAGTTTTCATACTCTGGGCATTTTGTAGACACACTTGAAGAAAAACTCATATAAACTTTATTTCAGTGTGGAAATATGTTTTATTTGATTTACACAGTCCTACTCAAAGCCCTGAACATGGTGGGAAATTCAAGTGAATTTGAAAAAAAAAAACTGCCTTAATCATTCAACTTGCCGAATTCTTTTGTAAATTTCTATTTTCTTATCTTATTGTACCTGAAAGAGTTACAGGGTAATGGGGAGACAGAGAAAAATCATCCACTGAATCACTCCCCAAATGGTCACGATGGCCACAGCTGGGCAGGTCTGAACCTGGGAGCCAGAATCTTCTTCCAGGTTTCCAATGTGGGTGCAGGTACCTAAGGCCTTGGGCAATTGTCCAATACTTTCCCAGGCCATAAAGTGTGAGCTGGCTTGGAAGCAGAGCTTCTGGGACTCGAACCAGCGTCCATATGGGATGCTGGTGCTGCAAGTAGAGAATTAGCCTAATAAGCTACATAAAATTCTTTTTCTAGTGATCAATTTTGATGAAGACTACTAGGGTAGACAAGAAAAACAGGCCAACAGGTTCGTATTTATGACAACTTCATTAATGTACCAGCGACTTTTTCCTGGAAAGCAAATTATCACAGAATCCTTCAAGTTCCCACTTTTTACCAAAATAGGAAGAAAAAAATATCTGAAGGAACGTTTCCTGCTTCTTCAGGGGCATAGGAATTAAAAATTCCAAATCCTCCAGAACTTTCAAAGGCATCATTTTACTCTCAATAATGAGACATGACTACTGTTTTTTAAAAACATATTTGAAGGGCAGAGGAAGACTGACAGAGCTGCTACCTATCGGCTCATTGCCCAAGTGTCCACAGTAGCTGGAGCTGAACCTGGAATTCAATCCAGGTTTAGCAGGTAGGTGGCAGACGCTCAAAATATTTGAGCCCTCTCCCAGCGCACCTTAGCAGTAAGCTGGAGTAGAGAGAAGGACGAGGACTGTGGAACCAGGTGCTCTGGTGCCTGATGCAAGTGTCCCAAGTTTATTGGAAATGCAGAGTTAGGGAAGAATCTTCCAGT